GCTATTGTTATTGCTATTGCTGTTTGTTAAAAATCCATACCGTGTACGGGTTCTGGGAAGTCGGGGGGGGGAAGGAGGAGGGGGGTTGGGGGGGAGGGTGGAGGGAGGGAGGGGTATACATTAGGCTAGACAAGAATTTGGTGGTAAACTAGAACTATTTTGACACACACAAAAAAAATTGTACTCCGATGTCTCACTGATTGAGGAATGATGAAATGTTTGTTTTAAAAGAAAATAAAACTTTTGAACCCCCCCCCAAAAAAACCTTGAAAAAATAAAAAGGTATTCCTTCCCTTTCTTAATCATCTTTAAGGACTTTTAATATTTATTAAACTGGGAGAGGCTCTCTTTAGCTGCAGCCTGTTATTACTTTTTGAAGATCTGGACCATTTCTTGCATAGTTGGAATGCTGCAAATTTGCACAAATTGCACACATTGTTTACTGTTTTTATGTAACACCTTAGGAATGGATAGTACAAAAATGATGAACATGTCTCTCCAAACACTGGGCATCATTTCAGCCAATATCCAAAAGATCCTAACAGGGAACAAGACAGCTAGATCACCAAAATCAAATTCAATAGATGTGTTGCAAAGAAGAAAGGATTTGGTTCAGGAATCTTAGAAAATGGTGATAACACAACATCATGATCACTTCTTTTGGAACCGACAATTGTTATAAATCTTAATAATCATAAATATCATACACAAATACTTCTTTGACAAAAATGAAGAAGAATTGTTCTTATAACTTTATATACAATATTTTTCTTATAGATGGCATTCTTTTTATTTCTTTTTTAAGCAATTTTTCGGAGCCAGTAAGATGACATGATAATCTAATTTCTCTTTGTGAGTTGCTCCCTATGGTTGAGGTTAGGCCGCAAAACAATGATGTAGCATTTTGGCAGGAATATGCATCCCAGTAAAGCAGCGCTGGAGGCCAAGATGGAGAAGACCACCACAGCCACTATGGTTTTTCCTTTTGCACTCAGATATGCTGGAAAGAAGGAGATCCACACACTACAAAAGGCCAACATGCTGAAGGTGATGAACTTGGCTTCATTAAAGCTGTCCAGTAATTTATGAGCAAGAAAAGCCACAATAAAGCTGGCAATGGCCAAGATACCCATGTAGCCCAAGATACAGTAGAATTGGAATTGGAAAGTTTATTTATAGGCCGCCCTTTTCCCTGGGGGGACTCAGGGCGGCGTACAATTCATGGGGAGGGGAATACAAACAGTAGAAGAATGAAGCTGAACCCTCATTGCATTGTAAAATCATTTTTTGGGACTCTCGGTGCATGTCCAACTCAGGGAATGGAGGAGATGTTGACAACAAAAGTATACAAATCCATACTTGTAAGAGAGCATGAGAGGATAATAGCAAAAGCCAAACTTTTCCCCACCTATTTCCTCATCTGAGATCCAGGTTTAGTGGCCATGAAAGCAACAGCTACAGTGGTGGTTTTGGCCAGTACACTAGAAATGGCCACTGAGAAGGTGATGCCAAAAGTTGGTTGCCAGAGAAGGCAGGTCACTTTGCCAGGTTGGCTGAGAAAGAAGAAAGAAGAGAGAAAACAGAGCAGAAGAGAGACAAGAAAGGTTGTTGGCTTTGACAATGGGAGTATCCTGGTGCTTAACAAAGGTTCCAAGTACCCAAGAGGTCAAGAAGAAGAAACCAAGAGCTGCTGAGGCTAAACCAATTCCTGAGGTTTCTTCAAAAGTTAGAAAGACCAGCAGTTTCAGGATGCATCCATTATTGTCTTTATTTGGATAATGATCTTGTGAACATTCAAAACTGTCATCCATATTTTGAAGGAAAATCAAGGATATTTTTCCATCAAGGTATTGCATATTACTAAAAATTACCTTATTAATTTTATTCATCCAAGTAGTTTATTAAAGTTTGCTTAAGTCTAATGAAAAATGGTAGAATTCCTACCCTACCTAGATTGATTTGAAATCTTCCCTTTTGCGCATGGAACACAGTCATAGCAGCAGAACTGATTTCCCTCAATCCCTTTCTTCCAGGATCCAGGGAAACANTTATTGCACTAAATTTACATCCTATGGTAAAAGCTTTAACAAAATCTACAGTGTATTGTTTCATATCTCACAACTAGAAATAGTTGAAAGGCAAAGTGGCTAACATTATATATAAAGTTTACTTTTATGCTAAAACACTTTTAGTCATATCAGAAATTTTGAGGGAAGTGGCTCAAACAGGGGTGGGATTCTACCGGTTTGGATTGGTTTGGGAGAACCGGTTCACTCCAATTTTCAGCTGCCCCTGAGCTATACTAATGTATATTCCCTTTTCTGAACCCCAGCTAATGGGCACAGCAGAATGACATGAATGGCATTCTGTTTGCCTCCACAACAGTAATGCAGAAAGTGATTTCTCTGTAAACTGTGAAGCACATGCTCAAATAACTGGTTGTTAAACCAGTAAGATCCCACTCCTGGGATCCTAATCCTAAGATTAAAAACAGATAAAAACTATTTACAAGGTATGTCATAATGTTTCATACAAGGAAGTTCCTTAAATTTCAATTCATACCAACTTGTCCCATGTATCATCAAGATAATTCAGCACAACATACACTTTGTGTGCTTCCAAAACACCATTCCTTGGTCTTCTACTTCAAGGAAGGGTTTTCTCATGAACTGGAGGTGATCCAACCAACGTTCTCCAAAGTTGTAGCCTTGCCCTATGGCACGTACCATCCATCACGTACCATTCCGATCCATCACTGCAGCTCAACTCCACTGCCCATGCATGCACGCCTCCTGCTGCCCAGCTGATCTTTGGGTTTCTGCTGCACATGCAGACATATGCCTTGAGCAATTTCAACCAAAGTTGATACACAGATGACTTACTCTCTGGAAACAAATACTATGGGGGTAAGACACCCCTAACACCCCTTGGGATATGTCCATGTCTGTTTGTGTTCCAGCATAACTCTGGAATGCACGGGCTGCTGAAATGAAAAGGACTGAATTATATCTATAGGGCCCGACTCACTCGGCGGGTCACATGCTCGACCTCGTATTCCTCTCGGAGCAGTGGAGTTGTGATCTTGGTTTGAGGG